TATTATTATTATTATTACTACTACTACTACTACTGGTTAGAGAATGTCATGAATTTCAAAACTAATCTTTCTGAGGGGAAGTAACAAGTTAGCTGGATACATCTTGAACAAAAGTAGTGAAAAGATGTTTCAGTATGTATACTAAGGCACCAAGATTAAAGCAAACCTGGCCCCAATTTAAAAGTTTTCAAACTGGACTGCTTAGCTCCTCTGTTCAGAAATATACAGATTCTTCAAGTCTTGGTCCATAAAGGTCACGCTGATTTGTCTACTGCAGTGGTTCCCAACCATGGGTCCCCGGATGTTCTTGGATTGCAACTCCTAGAAATCCTGACCAGCACAGCTAGTGGTGAAAGCTTCTGGGAGTCCAAGTACATTTGGGGACCCAAGGTTGGGAACTACTGATCTATTGCCAAGGTCCATGTCAACACCTAGGAGACTCGGATTGTTGTGAAATCTCCATAGCAGTTCTGACTGTCCTCCTGACCTTAACATAGGATCTTAAAGACTTTTCTCCTTGGTTTCCAAAAACTACTTTTGGGAACTACAGTTCCTGGGAGCAATTTGTCCAAGCTCTGCTAGGAAGGTGACACCTTCACTTAAAAAGGCAAGCTCTCCTTCAGGTAAGCAGAGGGTGAGTGTGGCCACTACCATAGGTGAGCAATTACTTCTCAGACAGGTAAGTGTGTGCTATAATACCAGTCCCTTAGTACCACAAAGTGAAGCTTTCTAGGCTGTTTCACTCCCCCGTCGCCACAAGGTGACTAACAGACTTTGATACGATAGAGCACTGTTTCCCAGTTGTGGGTAAACTTAGGCATTGGACTGCAACCTCACCACTAGCTGTGCTGGCTGGGATTTCTGTAAGTGGCAGTCCAACAACACCTGGGCTACCCAAAGTTGGGAACTAGTGCGAGAGAGGAAAGATTATGCTGCAGGTCTGGGCTTAGTCACTCCTAGGCAGGGGCAAGATCACACACAATGGAAGTTTATTTCTAAAGAAGTTAACTGGAGTGAAGCTGAAGGAAACACCACCCTAAATCTCTTCTGGTTTATCCTCAGGAGTCCTACTCACATAAGATCAAGTTATGAATAGATGATAAAGATACTGTGATTGGTTCTATCCTAAGATCCTTTAACTTGCTGAACTGATCTCTCACAAGCTGCTGAAAGTGGGATCACACTGACAAGTTATTCATATCACAGGATTGCACCATCTGCCTTGCAACAATTCCAACAGTCAATTCTCTCCAACTCAGCTACCGGTCCTTCACACAATTATTCCCCCTTTCCTCTTTATTTAAAGCAGGTGCTGCTCCTTGGCTACTGGAGCCCATCCATCAGTCCAACCAGGTCTTTTCAATTACTAATTTCAACTTTGCAGCAAGCACAATTCCTTGCTCGCTGCTTTCATTTAATACTGCAATGTAACAGTAATGTTAAAAGAACATTAAGAACACTGTGGGATTGCCACGGTTATAAACAGGAAACCTAAATGAAGGACTGATAGTGGCTAAGAGACATCAGGAAATGACTAATTAGTGGAGACACTTCCAATCAGGAAGGAGACACTTTGAAATCTGTTCCAAACTAGATCCAATTCAAGTCTGTGCTACTTTCACACCTATCAACAGAAAGGATTATACACTTTTATTACACAGCTTTATTCTGAGCTCATTAGTTCTCTCTCAGGAAAAATGAAGGCTGTCCTCAAAGTTTCAATGAAGTATGAAGCCGGCTATGTCTCCGTGACTCCCTCCTGTCTTGCAGAGTCATCTCACTAGCTGCACTATGTCTGAAAGCAATCTAAAAGAATAGTTGATATGCATCTACCTAAGATTATTGGCTGGCATCCTGATGCACAATCACACAGACAGGATCGCTTGTGGAAGCAAACTGTTGTAAGTTAAGAAATCTACGTAGGTATTATCTATTGCACACAGAGTCACATGACTTAGCATGCAACAGATAATCTCTATAGAGATTTCTTACTTAGGGCAATTTGCTTCCAAAAGTTATACTGCATGCACAATTACGCAACAGGATGTGTGCCACTGAATAACTCCAATGGAAGTTATATTGAAAGAACAAGAAATATTATTGGTTAAGATACCGTATTTGCCGGCGTACAAGATGACTTTTCGGCCCTGAAAAACATAGTAAGACCGAGTAGAGCCCCACTCCTAGCCTGGGAACAGCCTGACTCTAGCGCCGAACAGCTGACTGTCAGGAACAGCAGAGAGGCACCAGCCATTTTGAGATGCAACCACATGGCTGCTGCCTCTCAAAATGGCTGCCGCCTCTCCAAAATGGCTGCCACCTCTCTGCTGTTCCTTCTTCCAGCAAACCCCGGCTCTCTCTGAAAAGGAACCAAAAGGGGCAAAAGGAACTCTCCCCATGATGCAGCAAAAACAGAATCAGGCATGCGGAAGAGGGGGTAGTCTTATACAGCAAGTATATAACAAACTCTACATTCTGAGTGGGAATGTTGGGGGGTGGTCTTATACACCCAGTCGCCTTATACACCGGCAAATACAGTAGGTAAAGGTTCCCCTTGACATTTTTTTAGTCCAGTCATGTCCGACTCTAGGAGGCGGCACTCATCCCACTTTTCAAGCTACAGAGCCAGCGCCAGTCTGAAGACAGTTTTCCGTTGTCACGTGGCCAGCGTGACTAGGGAATGCCGTTTTTCCTTCCCACCGAGATGGTACCTATTTATCTACTTGCATTTACATGCTTTTGAACTGCTAGGTTGGCGAGGAGCTGGGACAAAGCGATGGGAGCTCACTCCGTTGCGTGGATTCGTTCTTACGACTGCTGGTCTTCTGACCCTGCAGCACAGGCTTCTGCAGTTTAGCCCACAGCGCCACCACGTCCCTATTGGTCAAGAAACCAGAGATATATTCTAAGGTCTGTTTGGCAAATTAGCGTCATCCTCTTGACCGCCTCCCAGTCTTTCTCTCAACTGGCTGTTATTGCAGCAAGTGACCAAGAGAGATCATTGTGAGCTTCAATAATCTTCTCCACCAGGAAAGGACAACTCTGTTTGCCACCTGGGTTCTGTTTTGGTTTTTTTCACCAGGCAGAATTGTCTTTTGCCTCTACCAAGAGAGAAAGAGGAAATGCATATTGACAGTCACCACCTTGTAGAAAACTAAGATAGAGTGTTATAGCTCTCCCTGGGCTCAGCAGGCTGTTCTGCTCACATTCCAATTGTTTTTGTCATAATTCCACTCTGTCTTCACTGCCCTCTTCCTCTAAGGTGGCTCCATTTCTCCTTCAAGCTCTCTTCCTCTAAGTGTATGGCAACATTAAAGTTGGAATGCATGTTTTCAATCCCACTGCCAAGTCTTTTAACACAGTGGGACTTGAGATGCCCAGTCACAGTTAATGGCAGCTTAACACAAAGTTCACATCTTTCTGTTCCCTCCTGGTTACACCCATACAAACTCCTCTGAGATTCTTAGCTTAACTAGCTGTGCCAAGAATTGAACTGTGTTTTCTCAGGCATGGCAAGATCCATATAATGGGACCCATTGTTCAGGAAAAGTCACAGATTTTTTACCAATTTTAAGGGAAAGGGTGAGAGAAGAAGAGCTTTTTATTTGTTTGTTTTCTAAGTGGAGTTGTAATGTATTTAAGTCACACACAAAAATATTCAACAGTAGACTTGTTTCACATCTCCGTGGCAGGCTATTTTCTATTACTGTGACCAATGTCACCAGCTCTATGAATCCTGTGCTTTCTGTGAGCTAAAAAATAATACTAAAACTGCATGCTAAAACATACATGGCAGCCAAATAAATCAAGAGACACTGGAGATCATGCCCTTAATTCAAGATTTCATGGTGGAAAAACAAAGCACAGATTAGTATATTTTAAACATTACCACAGTATTAATACCGAAGTCCTTTGCATTGATGAGCTAGAACAGCAACTGTTCTTAATAATTCAAGTTTTGGACTTGGTGGGAATTCCACTGCTCAAGAAAAAGCAATGTGGCACAAGGTAAAGAAGCTTGGACTTATTCTTCCCCACTCTTGACTTTTTAAGAAACTGCCTTTCTTACAAATAGCGCTTCAAACTCATTAGCACTGTAAAATATTGGCAACATCCCTGTGCCAGCCTCTGTTTGCAATAAAGACATCTGGGGATATTCTCTCTTGCCAAGAATAGTTCCTATGACCATTACAGACAATAGGGAAACGGAATCTTTGGTAGATATGAATTTCCGTAGGGCTTATTCCATAATCAAGGACAAGCTCTGTCATGCCGAATTCAATTACCTATGCAATAACTTTAATCTTGGATGTTCCCCTCTTTCTGTTGGATTTTTTCCATCTCAGGATCATTCTCTCAAATATTTCCATTCCCTAGTAAACCCACATCGAAGAACAGCCTTTATGTTAGCCCATTTTAATATTTCTCCTTTAGTCACCCATGCCAGTCGATTTCTTAATATCCCTTGTGAAAAAAAAAGACTTTTTTTTGTTTAGAGACTCCTGGCACTCTGGTTCATATAGTGTGTCCTGCTCATTCTCACCGCCAAAATTTTTTTCTTGACCCTTGGAGCTCTTATTTTTCCAATTCTTCTGAGTCAATTCTATTTTCATGAGTGATTAATGTAATTCCCTGACCGCTGCTGTTGCAGGTTTCTTATCTGCAATTCTGAAATTGTCCCCTGCTTCTCACTCCTAATTTGTGAAATTTGTGTAATTTTACTTCTCCTATTTTGCTTGTGTTGTTGTAGTTTGTAAATGCCATTAAAGGTTTCAGAACAACAACAACAAGACAATAGGGGAAAAAACTATCATTTGTTTTTTCATTCCAACACATTTCAACCACAGAAATCTGTAACATTATGGTTGACAAGCAACGTTTGCAAAGGACTGAAAGTTATATTTCAGCCAATTTCAGCTTGACATTGCAATTCCAAAAAAACCATTTTGAGTGTCATAAGCCCACTAAAAAAGGAAACGTCGGGAGAAGAGAAGAAAAGCAGAGCTATAGGGCAACAAATAATGTATCTTGAAAATGGTTGTTATGGGTTTTTCGGGCTCTTTGGCCGTGTTCTGAAGTTTGTTCTTCCTAATGTTTCGCCAGTCTCTGTGGCCGGCATCTTCAATAACAGGAATACTAGGGACTTCTACTCACTACTTAAATTCTCACTTTAAGAATCCCTCCCATTGTAAGATGCCCCCTGAAATCTAATGAGTGGTTCAGGATCACTCCAAAGAAGACTACAAGGAGAAGAGAACAGAGATACAAACATTTCACATTTTCTGAAGAGAAGCTGCTAAACAAAAGCTGAAGAATGGGTTTCATATTACTCATCCACACTCAGCCTGTGGACAGATATTTCATCACAATGCTGCCTTCCTCACTGCCTTTTCTGCAACTAGGGCTGACAGATACAACATGCCATTTGAAATTAGAAGGCGACAAAACAGACTCATGGCACAATAAATATTTAAATGAATTCAAGCCATACATTTTGTGCAGGAAACAGCAAATAACAAAAAAGCCAGAATTTTCGAGAGGGATAATTAGAGATACAGATGTTTTTAAAAAGAGATTTAGCGACTGACTGTTTAATTTACCTCTACAGTATGAGTCTCCGTGCTAATTATAAAAATCTGTCCACCAGAAGCTGCCCAGATCGTTTCTTCCATGACAAGGAGACTTCTTACTGGAAGAACTCCCAACTTCACTACTTTCTGAGGTTCTGAATTCCAGACTCCATCTTTAATGAGAAGAAATAAAATATATTAAAAGTCAAATATCAATGTGTGTTCTTACATACGACAGAGAATACCAAGATATGTAATGTCATTTCATTTGTACTTGAACAGTCTTTCTTTCCTTTATTTTCAGGCCTGCTCTGGCCTCCATACAAACTGGTTTTGTGAGATTTTGTGCTATTTCACAAACTTCTCTGAAGGGAGACCCACCAGAAGGGCCAGGAGGTGGGGAAATCCAACAGAAGCAGCCCAGGAAACAATGTCGCTACCAGACTGTCTTTGACTTCCTAGGGGAAAAAAATTATCCACCCACTGACATCAAAAAGGAAACAATTTGAGGTCAATTCCCAGGAATTATGGGAAGAAAGCTCTTGCAGTATTATGTCAACCTAAGTTGTTGCAATAGGACAGAACACTAATCCAAATATTCTATTTTTTGTGGACAGGAACTGCTCCACTAATTGGCCTTCCTTCCTTCTAACATTTGGCAGCTTACTTTGCACAACATCATAGCCCAGAAGATTGGAGGCTGAGAAAACCTAGAGATTAATTTTTCAGTATTAATTCATGATTTTTAAAATCTTATACTCCTTAATTGAATGTAATGTGTTCCCTGTCACTGCCTGTGTAAGAATCTTCTCCCCCTACTTTGACACGGCTAGAATAAACACTCATCTTTTTGTTTAATAGTTTCCTTTCTCCTTTTCTGTAACACTGCTGGCATTTCAACAGTGCTGCCAAAGTAACCATACGAATGGAGCTTGTTAACTGAGTTGTGCAATGGAGCATAAGTATTAGTACGTCGCATTATCATGAATAGTGTCTATTGACTGTTTTCTTAAATAGCAGAGCAGGAAGATTTGAAATATACAGCAATAGTCAGAAGCAACTTATGTATTCTTGACACATTTAAAACTCCTTTTTATTTCACTGAACTAACTACAAGATTGCTACCATCATTAGGTATCAAAAGGATCTATGTACAGCAGATGAAGAGAAGTAGTCACAGAACTAAAATGTTCCACAGTGTTTTCACTACACCAGTTCTTTCAACAGAGTAGACAGACCATTATCTGTGTACTGGGTTTCTCTCACATGTTTATTATTTTTGTTTATTTGCTACTTTTATACCTTTCCTTTCTCCAACAAGCTGAAGGTGGCATACATGATGTTCCTCCTACTCACTTTGACCCCCAACTATCCCATGAAGTAGGTCAAGCAGAGAAAGACTGACTGGCTCAAGGTCACACCATGAATTTCTCAGCTTAGTAGGAACACCAACCTTCATCTCCTGAGTCCTAGGACCACACTCCAGAGCAACCTTCAGAGGTGTGGGGCATGTATTCCACACCCATCCCCGAATCCTGGAAGGCTCCATTCACTCTTGCAAAACTCTACACAATTTTTTTCTCTTAAACATTGGTGGCTTGCTGAAAAAAAAACCCTTGTACCCTCTGGTGGCCATAAATATTGTTGTTTTTCAAAGGCTCTTTTCACAACGGGGCAGTGGTGCTAGCCTCCATCACAACTTGCTCACTGCACATAGGGCACAAGGAAACTTTCTGAAACCCCCCCCCCAACAGTTTTCAATATTTTTAGAAATTAAAGCGGTGAGGTGTTAGGGGTTCCAAGGTGCTAGGAAGCCATATGTTACAGCGCCCTACTCTAACCAGTATGTATCACTTCCTGGGAACACAGACTGGTCAAGTAGGACTGTCCTGCAAAACACTGCTAATGAGTTATTTACTTACTGTATTTTTCTGTGTATGAGACGCCCCAATGTATAAAACGACCCCCACTTTTCTAACCCCAAATTAGAAAATTTGATCACTGCTTTCCCCGCCACTTCCTAAGCCCCATGGGGCTTAGAAAAAAGAGGGGGAAAGTAGTGATCAAAGTGATCCTACAGCCCTTTGATCGCTGCTTTCCCCCTCCTTTTGCTAAGCCCCGCAGGTGGAGGGGGAAAGGAGCGATCAAAGTGCAGCAGGATCGCTTTGATCCCTTCCCCTTCCACTTCTTTTTGTTCTCTCCTCAGCTTACATCCATGTATAAGACGACCCTCAATTTTTAGTCTAAAGATTTTAGACGAAGTTTCGTCTTATACACAGAAAAATACGGTACTTTACTTTACTTTACTTTACTTTACTTTACTTACTTACTTACTTACTTACTTACTTACTTACTTACTTACTTACTTACTTATTTGATTTATATACTGCCCATCTGGCAGCCAAGGCCATTCTGGGTGGTTAATTAATGGTTTCTGCTATGTTTACTCTAAATATGGATTATTTACTGAGTTAAAATGTTCATCTTCAGAAATATCCTACATATAGAATTGGATCCAAAAGTCGTCATCAATATAAGAGCCACAGAAATCACGTACTAATTAATTTAATATTTTAATTTTTTAAAATAGTTGTGGTTTGCTAACAAAATTTGGCACCAAGCTGCTATATCTAATGCAAAATCTCAATAAGGCAGTAAGCAAGCCTATCAGTGTTACCTTAAGCACGAAGCCTTAAATTCACACTCTATTCACAGTTGTCTCCTCAGCATTTTTCTTCCTTGAACCTTGATTGTTTATAATAGGCAATTAAGGATTTTGTTCTTTAACTGTTTAAGTGTTAATTATTATTGAAAATAATTAAGTCTAAGGGATTACTAGATGCTACAAAAGCTATATTAGATAATAAAATACACTGTAAGTTAATGTACACAAATATTGTGGGATTTCTATTTGGTCTCTTGAAAACAAAATAGTACTATGCAAAAACTTTAAAAGCCATGATAAATTGCAATTAGTAATAGGTATGGCCATTTCATGGAGATATTAAGGGTTGCTCCTCTTATGATACTTTGTTGATACTGATATAATCCTAAACTAGCATGTGTGGGTGGGGAGCCTCACCTCCATAAGAACAAATAGAAAAGGAAAAAGTTTATTGTTATCAACATTTTCTTTCAAATGTCAATGGGAAAGATTCTTTTGCTCATGTAACCAACCAGCTGGTACTGGGAGGCATATTGCAATGTACAGCCACCATGAAGAGTCACCATGGATAGCCTTACCCTCCAAAACGTCATGTATGTCAACTCACATATATCTTCAAGCCCCAAGGACCTGTAGCCAACAGAAACTACTCCAATTCTATGTACATAGGCACACATTCCTTATTTGTGACAGCACACAAAATTTGTACAACAACTACATGAGATCCAAGTGGGCTGTTTTTTTACAGTATATCCAAAGCATTAGTCCACCACCATAACCTAAAGGCCAAGCCAAACATCATTTTTATTTATAACATTTAGAAAAAACAAAGTAACAAACACATCCTTTGGACAAAATACAGCCAGTAAAGGAAATCTTCAGGATACTGCAATTCTGTACCTTCCAACTTTGTGTAGATGGCAATGTTCCCATTGACGAGGCCAGCAAACAAGTGACGGGCTTTGTATGCCAGGCTCATGACAGTCGACTTGTCTGGAGCGAAGAAGTGCTGCAGGCGGACTTTCTTAGAGCCTTGACTACTCTTGTACACAGAGATGCTGATTAAAAAGCAACAAGAGGAGAAAAGAAAAGTCTTTTAAAACATATTTATATTCATTTTGAAAGTGAGATGATATCTCTTAGAAAAATAACAGTGGGGAAAAGGAATTTTTTTAGTACGACATCAAATCTGAGTAATTAAAAAGTCCAACTAGACATCATAATAAACACTGAACTGTGTCTGTGTCATTTTAGCTTCTCTTTCTTGAGTAACTTCACGTTACAGTACTTCCTCCTTGCCCCCACCTCAAATCACTGGGAAGCAGGCAGACATAGTATGGTGATGTCATTGTCTGTATTGTCTGTAAGAGACCAAAATTATACAGATCAGTGGCAGCATGATGTCTCCTGGAGTGTTTTACTTGACCCTTATACAAGCAAGGTTGTAGCCAGACTCAGTTATACTTTATATAGATCCACACTGAGATCAAAGGACTTAATTACTCTGAATCCCACTCATTTTCAGGTGGTCTATTTTCAGTATCACTAAGCCTGGACCCACCTCATAGACTTATGTAAGCACTGTTATCTTATGGAGTCATGGAGTATTTCTTTTTTTCACTTCTACATAAGGTGCCTGATCTGGATCTGGACAATTGCATGCAGGTAGGGGAACTTTAGAACTTCCTTCTAGGCAGTTTTCTTCTACATCCGCAGCTTGGGGATACACCTGGACCCGGCGCTTACCATGGAAACCCAAGTGGCGTCCATGGCCCACTCCGCTTATTTTCATCTATGGCGGATTGCCCAGCTGCGACCATACCTTGATGGGGGGGGGCCTCACTATTCTAGTCCATGTGCTCGTAATCTCGAGATTAGGCCATTGTAATGCACTCTACATAGGGCTGCCTTTGAGGCTGATGCGAAAAACTTCAGGTGGGGTGAGAAAATACCAACATATCTCCCCCACGCTGGCTGCCTTGCATTGGTTGCCCGTCCGTTTCCGCCTTGACTTCAAAGTGCTAACGATTCCTTATAAAGCCCTAAACGGTTTGGGGCCTCAATATTTGGCAGATCGCCTTCTTCCATCTAGATCTACCCGAATCACCCGATATAGCCAGCAGGGACAGCTGAGGGGTCTGACACCGAGGGAGGCCCGGAAGGAAAAAACAAGAAACCAGGCCTTCTCGGCAGCGGCCCCTCGGCTGTGGAACACCCTTCCTGCCAAAATTCGGATGGCACCCTCGCTGGGTGTTTTAAAAAGCCAGCTGAAAACTTGGCTATTCAAGCAGGCCTTCCCTTCAGTCAATTAAGTGATTCTTATATTTTTTTCCTCTTCTTTTTCTTTTGATTCATGCCATCTTGGGACTGTTTGTTTGTTTAAATTAATTGTTAAAATTAATTGTTAAAATTGTAAAT